AAATCTTCTAATTCGAATCTATTTTGAACATAGAACCGTAGAATGCACTTCACTAAATGAACAAAAAATCATTTGGGATAAAATGATTTTGACGGGATCCCGTCACTTTTTGCGAGATAGGCGAGATCCCGCGGCTTCCCGCACAGAAAAGTTAATCCCGCGGGATCCCGGCGAGATTCATAAAAAATGAGCGACATGGGATACATTTCTAACATCACTTCCGATAATTATACTTTGAAATATAGTCATCCTTGCCGTTATATTCGTCCTTAACCTTATTCATGATCACAACAAAGTAGATGATTTACGTCTAATGGTGGTTGCCAATTGACATGTTCATGTTACATTGATAATTAAATATTGTCAAAACCAAATTATTGACAACGACTATGGCAATAAGATTAGTTTACTTTTCAAATTCTATTCAGATGCTAAATACGGTTTATACTGACCGATCGAAATAGTTTCCGGACGAATAAATATCATCATTGAAGGCCATAGGGATAGAGGTGACTTGCATTGTTGCTTTATAAAATCATACACTATGAACGTGAAATTTTCACTCAAGAGCAAAAAATAGTAACACTCCTACGACTTCGAGTTAACTTTTTCCCCTTGTTTTGACTCTTATGCATAGAAAAAATGCGGAACAGGGAAAAGAAGTATCGCTCGTAGCCATCTTAAAAACCAATAGGTTATAACAAAATGCGATTTTCACTGTGAAAAAGGCAAAACATTGCTTTATCGAACAGTTAAGTTTGAATGTGATGATTTGTTGTTCGAAATTTTTTCGGATATCTTTCATATATCTAAACGAACAAAGATTAAAATCTGAAACCTGAATTTACACCGAATGAAAACATTCAGCTAGATAGATTATATAAGGACATGTGTTTATAAGTTTGGACATTAATCGATCACTCGACAGATTGAAAGGATGATGAATAATCAACACTGTCCTAGAATTGGTGAAAAATCGATGAAAGGGTGTGGGTTTGCGTGTGTAATCGTGTGAATGTTGTCTTCTGTTCATGCACACCCACATCCACCCCCGGATGTGGAAAAAAACTTTTTTCAAATGTCTGACCCATACAGAAGGTAATATCGATAGTTACTTATAACTCTTAAAAAGTCTCGCTAAAACTGTCTCGTTTACACTAAAAGCACTTTAATAGTATCTTCAAAATTTGATACTGCGAAAATTACAGAATCTTATCAAGTAACACGATGTATTGATTAAAATGATCCATTAAGGAGTAGTGAGAAATCATTCGACTCAACAAGCTCTCTTTTCAAGATCAACTATGTCTTTGCAAAACTTGCATTAAAACTATTGAAAAGTTGATGAAAATGCTTTCAATTATACCTTTCTCACAAATTATATCCTTATGTTGGTGATTATATTCACTTTTAATAGCATCAAACAAAGATTTATCTATTGAAAGTGATGATTCCTCGACTATATTACATAGTTGTTTAGAAAGTGCTTCGACTTTATAAACTTTATCGGAAGATATTCTTGTACCATCAATATCAAAAAATGGTGATGTTAATGAATGTGAAATAAAAAGATTATTAATACTAATATCTTAAGATATTGCATGATATTTATGGGAAAGGATTTTCAGGTCGATAATGATGTAACCATTGTGCACCTAAATCAATAGGTGTATTTATACCAAATGTAGTTGTATCAGTACTAACGCGACCACCAGCACGATTACGAGCTTTGAATACAATAAATTTTAATTGTGAAACTGCTTGCAAATCGATTGCTGCTGCTATTCCAGCAGGACCACATCCAACAATAACTATATCGAAAATCTCATCTGTAGAGGTCATTTTAAACGATATGTGAATGATAAAGTAATAACAATAACCAGTGTAGTTATCAGAAACTAAAGAAACAAAATGATATACTCCAGATGCGCGTTGTTTTTTTTTTCTAGATTTTACTTTTGCTACTAAAGTAATCCGGTATTAAGGTGGTATTCTGTCCACTTGATATTGTTTATTGATGATTCTATGAATATTTCTTAGAAGCAGTTATTCATATTCATATTTGATGCACAGGAAACGATAGTTTATAATAATTCAAAAGGAGCAAAAGAGAAAAAAAGATATGTGTGAAAAAAAAATTGTACTTTGTTTTGCGTTTTCTTCAAAATCAGTTTTTAAACGAGAAAAAAAACGAAGCATTCCTCCTTTTCTCTCACACCATATGTTCAACCGGACTCAATTTGTTTTTACTGAGTACTTTGGTCAAATTGGAGTGTGTGTTTCTCTTTTCTTCAAAATGTCATTCCTATGAAATTCTGCAATCTTTAAAAATTAGTACAATTGAAAAAATACGTTTTTTGACAGTGCTTCCACTGTGCTGCTTCTCCTGAGCTTGTAGAATAATATTTTTGAAAGAAAAAACAAGCACACACCCCGATTTCATCCTAGCTGTGATAAAATAATTACAGCTTGAAAACAAATCAAGTATAGAGTTTTGCAGGGGAAAAATTTCGGACTATTTTAGGCCTTTGAGACTCTCATATCTTTTTGAAGAAAGCATCTCGGAATGCTGAGCCTGTTACAACTTTTGCACTACTTATGAAGATCTATCTGCCCAGTTCCAAACATTTTCGTCGAGTCGTTCTCGAGGAATCCTGGAAAGGGAAAGAGCGGAAGGATCCACGTAAATTGACTTGAGCAGCATTTTTAATCGAAGTTTCAAGCGAAGTACCAATCCACAGTTTACTGTTACTTTTTCCACGTCTTTCCAGCAAAAAAAATAAAGTACTATGTCAAAGTCATTATTGTATTGTGTACTTTGCTCTTACTTGAGATACTTAGTCTTAAAAATATTGGACTTGAGTAATACTAAACTATGATGACTATGCCGATCGACACAGGGAAAACAAACGATATCCCATAGACTTTTTCGAAAATAGAAATTTTCCTAAGACAACTCAGGCTGTCGCGATCATTTAACTAGAAAGCTTTTATCCGGCATGGTATTGGCAGTTTGCTGTAATCTGATTGACATGCATCTTCATATAATAGTTAATACATCAATAAAAAAAAGTAACATTTGTCTGCTATAACTTAGGCGAAATGCATAACACTGGCGGATCCCACAGTTCGGCGATTCAGCAACTGCCATCCACTGCTGAATAAAAGTGACCACGATGACTTTTATAAATTTAGAAAGCTTCACAAGTAAATCTTTGCACAGAATAATTGAAACCTGAAAATCCAGAGAGTCACCCAACAAAAATTTCTAATGGTTAGTAAAGCTGTCTGAAGAGTAACAGAGACAAATGCAATAATAATATTGATCATTATTGTTTTTAATTGATAATTAATTCAAAAAAACTTCATAAATATATAGAACTAAATAAAATTTAGATGTTCAAAATCAAAGAGTACCAAAACTCACATTGAAGAAAAGCTAACGATGTTTGAAAATTCATTTTATTTCTGTTTGAC